ACACCAGCTTCCCTCCATTTCAATGTGTCCCCCGCGCTGTCACCACTCTGAGATGACAACATGTTTTCAGTGACACCTTGTGCCCTGCGGGATAATGTTCTTCTGACCGAACAAGTTCCCCTCTCCGTTCTTCAGGTCCTTGACTTCGATAAAAAAAGAAAAACAGAATATTGGGGATGAAGTAGGGTGTCTTCCATTTCTCTTCTTCTTTCACTCACTCAGGTGACAGGAATAAGTTTATTGGAAACATGAGGGTCAGACTTCTCTGGTGGCTTTGTCTGTTCTTGGGTCATATGACGTCAAGCCTTTCCTCCTCCTAAGGTAAACTCTGTAGTTCAGCTCTGAGTCCTGAAGGATGCAGTCCTGAAGCTCCAGCTGTTGGGTTTATGAACTGATTGGGAAAATTAAATTCAGAGGTAAATGCATAGGATTTCAGATCCCAGTTGCAATCCCAGCTAGTTTCATCAAGAGTAAAGCTAATAACTTGAACCCTTTCCAACTTCTTTGTCATTGTTTCAGAATCAGGACAGGGAATCAGGTGATTATTTAGAAATGTCCTTACAATAGATCCTCCACCATCTGCATCCGGCTTATAATTTTCTCTAGCTATCATCTATATCTTTCCATACCACTACCCCAGACCTGTGAACACATGGCCCACCCGCTCCAAATTACCTGCCGTTTTTGACCAACGCTGCTTCATTTACCTGTATATGCCTCGGCTTTCTCATTCTGGTTCTCCATTCTACTCATCTTTTAACATCTGCCTAAATATCATTATCTCTCTAAAGTATCCCTTGGTTAGCCCCAAGTAGAGGGGACATGTTCCGCTGGGTCCCCAGTGTAGTATTTTACAGTAGTTTTCACATGCTAGTGCATTTATTAGACCATATCCTTTTGGGTGCTGAAATATATCTTACTCACTATTGTAGTCATTCCTTGCATCTACTGAATTTCTTGACATAATTATTGCTACTAAAACCTTTTTTGATAAATGCAATAAGCAAATGAAAAAATGACTAAAACATGAATGCCTACAGTGAGTCAACCTTTATGCTGAATAACCTGAGCAATTACAAAGAAGCTAAGATATCTAATTGTAAAGGAACAATTGCTCTGCTTAACACAGCAGGTTATGCTGGCATCTCAAGTTGAGTGCTTGAGTATTCTAGAATCGGACAATTCTTGAAGCACACTTATCCAGATTAATACATGTACTGCTCCTTTATTGGTATCGCATTATCCAACATTATCCATTATCCAATTCACAGTAACAGTAAAAAACCTACTATCTGTCTATTTTGTGCATTCATAATGTATGTCTAACAGTCATGCTACAATGTGAGGTGAGAGCAATGCTGTCTGTGATGCATAAGGTGACACATTGGCAAGTATGTAAAGATGTAATATGGTATTTATGAAATGACTTAGTCAGCTCCATTTGGATCTGAAACGGGCACCGCCATTTTCACATAATGCCAATTTTTGCACAATGACTAGGTCTTTTGAACCTAAGTACACCAGTAACTGAGAAATGAGTCTATATAGCAAGGCAGAGAGGATGGGGAATGTTGAGCAGCTTCCTGTGTCAACTCTGTCCATCATTCTTAGACCTAAGAACCATTTGTGTTCAGCAGTCATGATGTCCATTACCATAAGCACTTATTTCTAGTCGGTTTCCAAAGGTGGGCCTAATACAACAGGCCAGACATAAATGATGAGCTAATCCAGCCCTTTTCATAGAACTTGACATTGTGTTCTTAAAATTTGGCCTAATATGGTTGCCTCCATAAGGAGCTCTGGTGGTACTGTTGAGTAAGTACTGGACCTCAAGGTTGGTGGTTCAAATCCATCAGCTAAACCAAGGAAGAAAGATGAGGCTATTTGCTTCCAATGAGATTTGCAGCCTCCACCACTCTATATAGAGTCTCTACAAGTCAAAATAGACTCGGTGGCAGTAGGCTTTGTTTTGTTTGTTTGGACGGTTGCTTCCATGGGCAACCTTGCATTTATTCTCTGGCCTTTGTCTTCTATATTCCTGAAGCGCTTACCTCTGAAGTTCAGAAATTAAAACTGACCTACTCCCCCCACAAACGTGCAGATGAAGCATTGTCTGGTTTTCTAAGTGATAGTCCCATTATTGAAGGGGCTAAAGCAAAGGTGGATGGAAGTGGGATTACAGCAGAGCCAAGTTATGACGAACTATAGCTTTTTGGTTTTGCTTAAACTTTTTTTTATTGGGACTTGGTGAAGATTTGCAGAGCAGACCATCAGTTTTACATTCAACAACTGATACACATTTTGTTTCATCTCATTCATTCGAATTCTCTCAATGAAACACCACTTCTCTCCCTTCCTCCCAGTGTTTCCTGCTTCCAGTCGTCCTTCCCTAACCCTTCTGAGCTTTGTCCTGGGGCAAATACTGCCCTTTTGATCTCAAATGGTTGATTATTCTAAGGCAGGGGTGCTCAATACATCGATTGCGATCTACTAATTGATCGCAAATGTAGTGTGGATAGATCGAATGGCATTAAAAAATAGACATAAGCCTGTCATCAATCCCGTCACTTAAGTGATATGCAGCGCAGCCAATCTTAGGTGTCAAACGCATGCGCAAACAACAGCACTAAGCGCAGCAAAACTGACAAGCTAAGTCATCGCCAATTTTCAGACCTTGGTTTTTCCTCTTAAACGTAAGAAAGGGTTTTAAAATGAGTGGGGAGCTGGACCAAGTAAGAAGACAAAAACGTATCACTTTCATACGGAATGGGAGATTTTAACACTACAAGCCGACATTCTGCTGAATCCAGCGCGCACGAACAGTTGTGGGACTTCCTCGCAAAAGGAAAGCACCCAAACATGAGATAATGTGCTGTCTCCCTGACCTTGATGGCATTACTCGGCTCTACTTGTTTGTGTGAGTCAGCCTTTTCCCACAGAAAGATCATTAAGTCCAAGTGCCGTTCCACCCTGACCGATGATCATTTGGAAGTGTGCTTGAGGCTGGCTGTCAGCCGCTACTGTACAGACTATGCGTCCCGGGCTCATTCCATTCAGTGAGAGTCATCAGAGTAAACGCAGGTAATGACAAAAAGTGTACATAGTAAATTGTGTTGTGTTGTGCAAAATAGACTCATGTTGTTATGCAAGGTACATAAACACTCATTGTACATAGAAAGAATTCTCAATGCATTTATGAATAAATGTAATACATAAATAAATATGTCTTGCATTTTTGTAGTTGGTAGATCATTTTGACTTGATCATTTTATAAGTAGCTCGCATGCTGAAAAAGTGTAAGCACCCCTGTTCTAAAGTGTGTACCTCTCTAGAGTGATTTTTCCCATTGTAGACCTGGATATGGTTTGGCTGAAAATTGAGCCACCTGGTGGGTTCAGTTCCAGGCCTGAGGGGTGACTGAGGACCATAGTCTATGAGTTCCCTCCAGTCACTATTCGGCCAGTAAGCCTGGTCTCCTTTAAGATTTTGAATTGTGTTCCATATCTTTCCCCACTCTCTCCAGGATCTTTGTATGTGGTCCCTTTCAGAGCAGCTGGCAGTGGTAGCAGGGCACTGTCTAGTTCTTCTGGTCTCAGGGTGGTAGAGACTATGATTCCGGTGGGATATTTGTCTATTGGACTAGTTGTTTCCATGAGTATTTGTTTTCATCACACTTCTTTCCTCTAGACAGTGAGAGAGAGATCAATAGTTGCACCATAGATGGCTCCTCACTTGCTTTTAAGACCCCAGTGGCTACTCACCAAGATGACATGTAGAATATTGTCTCTGAGGATTATGTGATGCCAGCTGACTTTGGTGTTCTCCCAGACTGAGGTCCTGATCCCCCAGGCCCAACGACTCCTTCCCTCAAGGTATTTGTTTATGTCTGAGCTGTTGTAACGTTGCCCCCTGTATGCTTGTGGTGAAGTGAAATTAGTTGGTATGCCTCTTCTACACATAGTCTTTGTAACTCCCACCACACGACTGGGTGGGAGTGTGCAGATACTACGCAGAGAACTCTAAGGAGGGAATTGGTCAGTTTTTCCATTCACTGGGGGCAAGAGTGAGCCGTCTCAGAAGCAGGGAGCAGGATCTCATGAGCATCAAGAAAGAAGAGGCACAATGGAGTGCTTGTGAGAACCCTGAAGTGAGAGAGGCACCCGAGACTGCAGCACGGGGATCACGAGACAGAGCAGAGGAGTTGACCAAGACTGTGAGACGGACTGGTACGCTTCCTAGCCCAGAGAAAGGGGGCAGGAGGCTGACTTGCACAGTAGGGTGCCTTTGGGCATTTCCTAGCACTAAAAGAGCTCTGTCGCTCTTGTCCTTGTGCCTGAGAGACTGAGAAGAGGCGCAAAGGATCAAAGAATGTTGCTTGAACATTTTGTAACCTGTTAGCTTCCTTAACAAATCTCGCAATCCTGAGTCTTGGCTCTTCTGTGTGGCCGCTGCAGCGGACTTTCAAACCCATCAGAGCAGTAGAGTGCCTTGAGCAGGATGTTTGCTATCAGGTGGCGCACAGAGCGCTGGAGAGTGAAGGCACCTCTGACCTCTGCCGTCCTTGGGTGGGTGTGGAGCTGGATTCTCCTTCTTCCTAGTGTAGTCAGGGAAGAACCGGCATGGCCCCCACCCCATCTTCTCAATGCGCCACCCCATTCATGGTTACATTTGGATCAACGTTAAATACTCATATGTGAATATCTTCTGCCAAACATACATATATGTATTTGTGGGTATACTCCACCCTCCACTCAGTGATTGTGTCTATCCATGCATCTATTTACAGATTACTGTCATTGCTAGATTGTATATGACTATTTTGGGGATTTGGGGCATTTTTTTTTGCCATTTCCGGCTACCTCGCCTTTGGAAAAATGCTGAATTCACACATCCAACTCTATCAGTCAGTTCTGGCCTCTGAGTCCATTGGTTCCTGGTCATCTGATAATGCTTCTGCCATACACTGACCCCGTCTTTCTCCTCTCAGCACACTTGAAACCACAGCTGCATGCTGCTGCCCTAGAGCCTCCCAGGCTTCCCAGGTCATGACTCTGCTACTCTCGTTGATCCTTGGTGAGTATTCTGCTCCTGTTGGTTTAGCCTTCAGCATTTTCTAGGATTTTGATCAGGAGACTCTTCCATTTGATCAATCTGTACAGATTCTAGCATCTTCTATGGTCAGCTTCTCCCTGCTCTCCTTTCTCTACAGCTAGCCACTCTTCCTAACCCTAAGAGGCTACTTAATTCATATCCAATTTTTAATCTGCTTTGAGTGCCAGGCCTTTTTTAAAAAAAGGTTGATTCTCCTTATAATTGCAACAAGTAAAATTTTCCAATTTCCTCTTTTGACATAAATTTCTCTGAATGTACTATGTGTGAGATGCCAAACAGGGGAGCAAGAAAAGGGAGGGGATTTGCAAAACAAACTCCTTTTTTTGGATGACATTACGTGGTTTCTTCTCAAAAGTTTTCCACATAGCACTTCCCTGTTTTCTTCTAGCTTCCTAATGTCTTGGGAAATCTGGAGTAAATGAGGATTCGGGCACTAAGAAGATCTGAGTTTCAATCCTGATTCTTTGATTTCTTCTCTATTTGAATATGTCAATTTTTCATAACTCTGAAATATTGCCTTCGCATTTATGAAGTAAACATATTATTACATCCTTCATAGGTTTTTTAAGAACCTTTTCATTAGATAATTTAGGATCACTAATAATACAATGCTTTGTAGATGCCTTCTCTAATCAATCTTTCATTTTCATTATCTTGATGTACTCCTCTCTCTCTCTGTCACACACATACACACACACACTCACTACTGGGCATGTACTGGGCTCTATGCAAGGTGTTCACCATAGTGTAAATATCTTAATAGTCCACAGCACCTAATAGCCAGTACTGCTCATCATAAACATATTATTGAATCTCCCAGACTCAATTAGGTCCTAGCTACTTCAGAAAGCCTTCCTGGTCTGTTTCACCTCAAATTATCCCTCTCTCTACAGAGGAGAACTTTCAAGTGACTAACTGACTACATTGCTTTCACACCTTACATATCAGATTTGGCAATTTAATTTCCACTGCATGGACAAATGATTTGTTTTCATTATAAGGCATGGGGAGCATTATAAAACAATTCACACAAGTATAACAAAGCTTTGAGTTTTAGTTGTTTGTAAACCAGATCTCATGGTGGACACATTTTGAAGTGTGGAACTAAAAGGACATATTTTGAAGTGTGGAACTATTACCGAATTCCTTGGAAATCAAGAAAAGAAAATACTCCAGGACAAGCCACTGAAATGCTTGTATCTGCATGAAAATTCTAGGCTGGAGATCCAAAGAGATACATTTCTTCAGAAAAATCCATCATGATGAACTTGAAAATACCTCGACTCAGGGACTGTCGCAGGTCACAGAACTCAGGACACTACTATCTTAGGCGGGAGCAATATGGCTAGAGGAGCCCAGCCCCAGGAGAGCCTCTAGGAAGAAACTTAAATCTAGAGATCTGGAACTAAGTGTATGGCTGCTTTCTGATTTACTGGTTTAAACCTGGGATCAGGAAACCAGTATGTTGTGAAGTTGTTGGAAAAAATAAAAAGAATAATATTTCATGACATGAAAGTTGGATAAACAAAGGCATGTCTGATCACACTCATGCCCATTTGCTGTCATATTGCCCCTAGCTATTTTTAAGCTTCGATAGCAGAGCTGAGTAGTTCCAACAGAGACCATATGGTCAACAAAGCCTAAAGGATTTACTGTCTGGACTTTTACACACACAAAAAGTACTGACCTTGAACTAAATGCAGTGCTGGTGAATGCTGGGCAGTCCTCTCGCTTCCCCCTCACGGTGCCATAACCTTCTCCTATCAGGGCACCTTTCTGGTGGCTTCCCATACCCTTATCTATTGATCCCAGAGGTTAGTTTGTGGCACTCTAACTCTGGATGGTAAGACCCAGTCAATATATTTGATTGCAATGGAAATCCAAATCGAGGCATGTCTGGCACAGAGCATGATAGGGCCACTTCACGGTGTAGTTTTGGTCTCTGTGGCTCCTAGATCCTGTTCATATGTCTTCTGGGGATGGCCAGACCAGAAGGACAGGTCCCAAATCAGGTTGGTCCTAGAGGCTATGTGTGTACCTCTCCACTGGTGCCACAAGGTTTGGCAGGGGTTTTTAAGAGATTTGTATTCAACAAAGCCTTGGGTATTAACTACATAACCTCTCTCACTTTCTTTTTCCCCCCAGCCATTTGCACTGGACCTGGACTCTTAGGTAAGGTTTTTTGGGGGGAGGTTTCCCAAGTGGGAGGGTTTCATGCTCAGAAAAGTGGAAACTTTTAGGTACTGGGCCATGGAGAACTAGTCTGGTTCAAAACAGGCCCTGTAGACTTCCTTCCTGATTTTCCACTTCATTCAGTCTTATTTGGGTAGATTTCTACCTCTAGAACTTATAAGAATTCGGGTGGTTTATCCTGCAATGAGATGTCTTTGGGGAATGAAAGCGATTTGCACTCATCTACTTGTCTACTTGCAAGAAAGTCTTGGGGGGACAGCTTCTGTGAAGGTCACCACCGAGAGGCGCCCTGAATTGAAATGGACTAGATGTTTTTGAAGGTTTTGCTTCGGTGAACACTGAGGAGACTCCTCCCCACATGGCTTCCATGGTGCAAGATGCTTGGCCAGTCTGCAAGCCCCATACGGTTGTATTTCAGGCCAAGTAGGGGCTGTTCTACTCTGTCCTAGAGGGTTGATATAAGTCTGAATCAACTCAACAGCGCGCGCGCACACGCGCGCGCTCACACACACACGAAACGAGCAAGGGAAGGAGCAAGAGAGAGAGTGCGTGAGTTCTGAGCTCCACTGTGGCCATATCTTGTAAATGAACTTCCTTTTGTTCTATTGGGTACTAGCACATCCAGGTCCCCCTGGAAGTCTTAATGGAACTTTTGTCTGAACTAGAAATCCAACTGCCACTGTGAAGCACATGGGTGAATGAGCAGAGTACAGGCTGAATGGCACCCCCCATTGGCCACCTATGCAAAGAGCCCTTGGGCAGATACACGACCAGGCAGGCAGAGGCTGAACAAAGAGAATGCATCTATGGAACAGGAAGGTTATGAGGCTACAAGCTCAAGTTTGTGAAGTATCAGTTTCTTTAGCATAACCTCTCAGGTCTATTTTTTCTCTTGAAAGTGGACTTTACCAGGGAGTGGCAGCTACAAACTCTGAAGTCCCTGCACCCTGCTGGATGTGATTTGATTTCTTAATAAGCATTGCTGTTGGATTCTTAGCCTAACTCCAAGATGACTCTGCCTTTTGTGCTGGCTCCCTTGGTTCAGTTCTGCTTCCCTCTTTAAAACTTCTCCATACCCTCGGCCGTTTCATCGCTAACCCTGACTCGATCTTTTAGCCTGGTCCTAAAGGCTGCTGAGCACAGTGTCCTGATGGCTCCTTCGACTCTCCTGTAACTCTTCAATCTTTCTCTGACCCTTCCTTCACCACTCAAGCTCCTATTTGTTTCTTTTCTTCTAAATACATGTTTCTTCTTTCCGATAGGCTCTTCTAGTATCCTAATTCATGGGAAAAGGAACACTCATTAAAAGGGAGTTGTTTTACAACCAGAATTTTACTAGTTAAAATAAAATATAATAACTTGCCTGCCCTCTTGATAGCTAACCTACACTGGAGTATGTAATACTGCCAGGGCCAGCGCTAGTCTTGCGGTGATCTAAACTGACCCCAGGTTCCTTCTAGGTGGTGCCTCTTGAATTATATTTCTGCCCAAATAGATGAGCTTTAAACCCAGGTGTGAAAAAGCTGTAACGTTCATAGGAGTTATATTACTCAATTTAATGTCATGCCTTCAGTCTACATCTTTGCCTATTAGGGAAAAGGGGAATAAAGAGGCTGAAGCAAAAATCAAATGAACAAACCAAATGTGTTTCCAATGCAATTTAATAGCAGCAAGGATTGATTTTTCTCATTGTCACTCCTTTTGGGGTTGAGTCTATGTTCTAGGGAGTTTACACAGCACAGAGACAGGCAGGCCGCGGGGATTATGGTCCTCAGAAGTCACTCCATTCATACAGTCAACTGGGTCCTCCCATGTGTTAAACATCTCTCAAGCCGCTCCCATACCAGAAGGCCACAGGCCACGAATTCAAACGTGACTCATCCAGGTGCACCAGCCTCTCTCACTGTAATGGCCCCCGAGCTAACTTTTCCACTCCATGGAGCATGACAAACTGCTTGCTTCTCCAGCATAACTCTGCAACTGCAGGAGAGTTGGTGGGATGGTCTCGGTCTACCACATGTGAGTGAGTGAGATAGGCCTTTGTATGCCCACGAAGAGTTACGGTCTCAGACACTCACAAGGGCAGTTGTTCCCTGTCCACCAGAGTCAAGATGCGTTGGCATTGACTCAAGGGCAGTGAGTGTGGTTTTGTTTGACCAGATCTGAGCTCTTTGAGGACAGCAATGTTCTTCATTTATTCTTCACTATCCTCAAAGCTCATGAAAGAACACGTCAAACAGCGCATGCTCCACAAATGTTGCCTGATAGGCTGTTCCTTCTCGACCATCCCTCTGCCTTGGTGGGTGGGAGAGGTTTGTGTAGGAAGCAGAATCAAGTCCAAGATGCCACCAATCTTAGGTGAAAGTTCTACAGGACCTCTCTCCTATAGCAGCCCCACCCTCAGGGACCGTCTAGACTCGTTTCTGGGGCCGTGGGAGTCTGAGTCTCTGACTCTTCCCTGGCCCGGGGTTCTCTGTGTTGCTTTTGTGCTGGGTGCCAGGGCACGAGACAACGCCACAGGAATGAACAAGAGTACTGTGGCTTCTTGGCAATGGAAGAGAGAGAGAGAGAGAGAGAGAGAGAGAGAGAGAGAGACAGATTGTTCAGCTGAAGCCAAGGCATCAATAGCTGTCAAAACGATTTGAACCCATAGCGACTTTGTCAGACAGACTTTATCAGACAGCCGTTTCAACAGGGTCATTTTTTATGAAAGCAGGCTGCCTCCTCTTTCTCCCATGAAGTGGCTGGTGTGTTTGAAGCCGGACATTTTAAACCTGGTGCCGCCAAGACTCCTGTGTTTAGATTAGGAGCCCAAAGTATTTACAGAACCTCCAGTTCCCCCTCCCTTTGGCTACCCTGAGGAGAGACAGAGCCTCGTGCAAGAAAGAACACACGGTAATCTTTGCTAGATTTGCAAGCAGGCCAGGGGCTTCCAATTCGTATTTAGAAATGAATCCCGCGGATCCTCTGTCTCCTGTTCTTGTCAATCCCATTCTTTCCCCCTCCCCCGACTTCTCCACGCCCTCTCTGAATGGTTGGTGCCATCCCGGCTGCTGGGGAACATCCTGAATACCTGTGAGGCTCTCCTGGTCTCCTCCCATCTTGCATTCCTTTGCAGGGTCTTCACTTAGAGTGCGACTGGTGAGTGGCCCCCATCGCTGCGAAGGGCGGGTAGAGGTGGAACAGAATGGACAGTGGGGCACCCTGTGTGATGACGGTTGGAACTTGAAGAATGCGGCCGTGTTGTGTCGGGAACTGGGCTGTGGGGCAGCCAAAGGAACACCCAGTGGTTTAAAATACCTGCCACTGGCAGACAAAAACCAAGACATCATCAACCAACAAATCACCTGCAGCGGGATGGAGGCTAGCCTGGCTCAATGTAAGCTAGAAGAACTGGATTACGGGATTTGTACTCACGAGGAAGACTCAGGAGCAGCATGTGACCGTGAGTGTGGCAGGCACCACTTGCCAGCTCCCCACACCCCTGTTCTTCTTTGCCTTTGCTCCCCACTGTGCACGTCCCCACACAATGCAACGTGAAGTGGTCCCTCATGCCAAGAGAGAAGTACCCTCCTCCAGCATTGTTACTCCTTCTTGCCTGAGCAAGTGCTTCCTTCTTACGTGGAAACCTCCGTTCCGTCTAACCACACCTGCACAGACCCTCCAGCAATCACCACACCATTATCTTTTGTTAAATTATTTTTTAAATCATGTTTTAAAATTTTTTTGTAATTTTTTAATATCATTTTATTGGGGGTTCATACAATTCTTATCACAATCCACACATACATCAATTGTGCAAAGCACATTTGTACATTCGTTGCCCTCATCATTCTCAAAACATTTGCTCCCCACTTAAGCCCTGGCATCAGCTCCTCGTTTTTCACTCTCCCTCCCTGCTTCCCCCTCCCTCATGAACCCTTCATAATTTATCAATTATTATTATTTTGTCATTCCTTACACTGTCCGATGTCTCCCTTCACCCACTTTTCTGTTGTCCGACCCCCAGGGAGGAGGTTATATGTAGATCCTTGTATTCGGTTCCCCGTTCTACCCCACCCTCCCTCCACCCTCCGGTATCACCACTCTCAGCACTGGTCCTGAAGGGATCATCCTTCCTGGATTCCCTGTGTTTCCAGTTCCTATCTGTACCAGACCACACCATCATGGAATAGTACACCCTGCATCTGGAGCTGGAGGTGTGAAGATGGAGGAGAAATGAGCTCACCGTGTGCACAGTGTGCTTCTTCTGTAGGTTCAGTTCGCAGGGAGTCCACCAGTTGTGAAGTTCAGCAGGAGACACTCACAGGAAGCTCACACACACTGTTCTCTAGGCCTTTGTTCTCTGGCAAGTATCGGCTTCCAGTCGAATAATTCCTCTGTGTCCGCATCCCCCGTCAGACTGCGGCTTGGCTGTCAAGTGAGGCCATGTCTGCTCTTTTTTTGTCTTCCCCTATATTTGCTATCATGGAATCAATCACGGAATCTCTGAGCCCTGTTGCCCAGGCTTCTGCTATGTCTTATGAGATGGTGAGGGCGGAGAATACTAATCTGAGATACTTGGGTGATGGTGTTGACACGGACAGGAAAACAAACAAACAAACAAACAAACAAACATTAGCCTTGAGTTCATTACTTTACTTCTCATTATGTTTTGTTATTTATTTATCTATCGATTCATTCATTTTAACCCCTATCATCTTTTGCCCTGATTTTTAGGAGAGGCAAATGAGGAACAGTTTGAATGTGAAAATAATGTGAAAAAAAACAGAAGCACAGACATTTTTAATGTTTCAACTCAGAATGGACTCATTGGTTCATTCAATGAACAGCTGTCAGCAGTTATTAGGTGCTAATAACATGTTTACATTGTACTAAACACCAGGCGTAGAGATGTGTACATTGCCTCCTGGCCCCCAAGATGATAGTTCTACTTCCTCCACTTCCCATTCCCAGAGCCTGTGCAACTCGCTGATGGCCCGAACCGGTGCGAGGGGCGAGTGGAGGTGAAGCACCAGGGCCAGTGGGGCTCCGTGTGCAAAGCAGGTTGGAACCTCCATGCAGCCAAGGTGGTCTGCCGGCAGCTGGGATGTGGACGTGCCCTACTGACCCAAGCATACTACAACAGAGCCGTCCAGGGGCAATGGCCCATCTGGCTGAGCTGGGTATCATGCTCAGGAGAAGAACTAACCCTTCAGGAATGCTCCTTGAGTCCTTGGGGGGAAAGCACCTGCACCCATGACCAAGACACGTGGGTCCAATGTGAAGGTAATGCCTACAAGTTCAGAGAGTAATAAATCAGTACATTCTAGTAAATAGAACCCTATTCCATTATTATTTACAGAGAATTGTAAATAGATATGGCAAAGTTACTTAACTGTGCCTATCCTTAATGTTCTTGCCAGAAAAAGGGGGCTATTCGTAACTGCTTTTGTGTATAAAAATGCTTCAAACAATATTAAGTCTACTATTACTAGGGACTGTTATATTAGGGGCCCTGGTGGCGTCGTGATTACCAGTGGGCTGCTAACCGCCAGGTCAGCAGTTTGATCACACCAGCTGTTCCATGAGAGAAAGCTTCGGTTTTCTACTCTGCTAAAGAGCGACAGTCTCGGAAACTCACTGGGCAGTTCTACCCCGCCCTCTAGGGTGGCTGTGAGTCGCCATTGCTTTGATGGCATTTGTTGTTGTTGTTAATTCTTCTGTTGGGGAGCCTTGGTAGCACAGTGGGTTAAACATCTGGGAGGCTAATTTGAAAGGTCAGCAGTTTGAGACCACCAGCGGCTCTGTGGGAGAAAGATGAGCCTTTCTGGTACGGTCATGACTGCCAACCCAGAGGCCCGCAGGGGCAACGCTGCCCTGTCCTGTGTGGTTGCTATGAGTCAGAATCAACTTGATGGCAGTGAGGGCTTTTTAATTCTTATTTTGGAGCCCTGGTGGCTCAGTGGCTAAAGCGCTCAGCGGTGAACAAAAACGTGGGTGAGGTTTGAATGCCAGGCTTGGACTACTATGTTGGGCTCTGTGTGAGCTTTCTGAGTCTTCCCTCTGGATTTACCGTAGCACGTTTCTCTCATACTGGCCCGGCTTCTCTCCTCTGCCCAGAACGTTCTGAATGGATACTCGCTTCCTCTGCACTTTGCTGCTTACGTGGTGCATTTAAAATGGAAATAATCTCCCATTGCAGTGGCTGTAATCTCGTTCTAGATGACTGAATTCCTAGGTTAATCCATGTCTTGCAGACGGTGCACACCACTTCACTGTGAGTTGGATGGGGAGCAACCGCATACCTGTTGTTGCTTGATAATAGATTTTTAAAAACCTTTCTTTTGTGAACTGGGTGAAGGTTTAAAGGCAGATCTGTTTTCCATTTGATAATTTTCATGTGAGCTTTTTAATCCAAGAAGCTCTGGGAGGGTCGTGGTTCCACGTTGGCCTGTTAGCAAGAAAATCAGCCATTGGAAACCCCAGTTGCTCCACGGGAGAAAGACGGGTCGTTCTGCACCCCTGATGCGTTACAGTCTCAGACATTCACAGGGGTAGTTAGCTCTCTCCTATTCCCTGGGGTCGGTCTCTATGAGTTGGCATTGACACATGGCAGTGGGTTTCTTAGCTTGTTTGTTTGTTTTTTCAGCCAAACAGATTGTTGTTGCTGACTGGCACTGTTCAGTCAGTTCTGACTCATGGCATCTCCAACACACGACAGAACCCTATGCTGCCCACCCTCACAGCTGTCACTATGTTAGAGCCGATGGCTGTAGCCACGGTGTCAGTTCATCTCATTTGAAGGTCTTCCTCTTGTCTTACTGACCCTCCATTCTGCCAAACATGATGTCCCCCAGGGACACCAAACAGATGGGGGCTATCTAGTCTGCAATAAATATGTTAAATAAATACATTTAAAATACGATTTGAAGTTCTTCCCAAATTCTGCCGTGGTCTATACTATCTGCTCCACAAATTATTAGGGTCTCTAGAATCATTTCTTTAACTAAGAACTGACTCTACATTTCTATTTTGATTAGGTCTCTTCTGAACATTAATAATAATTGCACAAAGTCTTCAATTTCTAAAGAATTGAATGCCATGTGTTAGCTGAAAGAAAGGAAGCAATAGGGTAGGAACCAGCGGGGCATCTAAGAATACAGCCTTCGTATTTGGTCCTATTTGGGGTTGAGTAGGGGATCTTAGCATGAGGTTTGTGGAGAGAGAGGAATTGGGCAACGTTAGGCAGACTGGGGAGTCCCAAGATGGTGCGAATGGTTAACACACTCAGCTGACCATCTGAAGTGCAGTGGGCCAGAACCTCCCAGGGGCCCCTTGGGAAAAAGTCCTGGCCTTCAACTTCTGAAGTACAGCCATTGAAAACCCTGTGTTGCACGGGGCTGCTTGGCCGCCCAGGGGGCTGTCATGCGTTAGAATGGACTCTATGGGGACTGGCTACCAGCTAGAAGGGATGCGATTGGAGTTGAGAAGTTCATTATGCTCTGTGGCTGCCTCTCCTTTTCCAAGGGGCTGGCAGCAATCCAACTTACACAGTCCGGAAGACAGGTAAGCAAACAGACTGGCCTCAAGATCAAAAGAGGGTTTGGGTTTGGCACCGGAAGTCTCTGAACCAGGTTGATCTCTATTATCAGGACACTGGCAGCATCATATCTCAGAGATACCCATGCTAGTTGATCCTAATCCTTGGTTCTGAGAAGCAGAATCTATGTAGAGAAGACCGATATGAGCTCCTGAAGGACAAATGAGCAACCCCCCCCCCCAGGCAGTGGTCTGGACTGGGGAAAGAGGCTGCTTCTAGAAGGAGACTCGTGTACCCCAGGAGCTTCTTCAAGACACCAGAACTGTGTCAGTCAAGTACTTTCAAACTCCAGTAGCTGATAAGAATGAAGCTCCTATTTAGAGCTCCCGTTTTGGCTCCATTGAGTGAGGCTGGCAGAAGTCCAGCTGTGGTAGTAGATGTTCCATGCTTCCCCTGGGTCAGAGCTGGGGGGGGGGGGGCGAAACAGATTGAATCAATCATTCTGTTGCCTCAGCTTTGACTTTTTCTTGGGCTTTCAGAAAAGTTTCCAGAAAAAAATATTAAATATGGATGAGGACAACTATTCATGTGCTTGTTAAATTCTTCACTTAAAAAACAACAACGAGAGGGATGGGAGGAAAGTGATTACCAAATAGAGGGCATTGGAAAGATGACTACAGGAGATCCAAATGATAAACCTGAATCAAACGGTTGACCTTGTCAGTTGATTCCCACCCGGATGTACATTGGCTTGATCTGATTTGCAACACTTTCTGTATTTCTTGGTCATTTGTTTGTTCGTATTGGGGTTAATCTCAGATGTGTTATGTTTTGGGGGATGACCCTCTTGAATTTTTGTAATACGTTGCTCTGGTTTTCAGTAATGAAACCCAGGATCGATGAGCCTATAGCAAATAGAGTAAGGGTTTGGGGGTAGGGACAGGGAGGGATACAGTGGTGGTGGGAGGGGAGGAGGGCAGTAAAAGGGAGCTGATGTCAAGGCGTCCAGGAAGGAAAAGAATTTTTTGAAACAGATTGTGGTAGCAATTGTAAATCCTGCTTGACGTGATTGAACAATGACGAAATGATATGCTATCTGTATTAACTCCCCATAAAATGTTTTTTTTTAAAACCCTACTAGAACATAATTTATAGATGTTAGTTTTATAAAATAGATAGAGAAATGAAAAGATCTTTGTTAAAGAAAGGTCCCTAGGTTAAAAGGGCTGGAATATGAAGGGACCTGGGGAGGGGGGTGTCATCACAGAAATATTTGTGGAGAGTTATTTTTCCAAGTTTAAAGGAAGATGTCGGTGAATTCCTTTTCGTGTTCTTTCCATGGCTCTGTTCAACCCCGGACGTTCCATTCCTCCCGGCAGGTCCCTTTGAACTGAGGCTGGAAGGAGGCAATCACTGTGCTGGGCGTCTGGAGGTATTGCATAGGGGTCTGTGGGGCTCTGTCTGTGATGACGACTGGGGTGAAAAGGAGGACCAGGTGGTTTGCAAGCAGCTGGGCTGTGGGAAGCCCGTCTCTCGACCTTCTCATGCCAAGAAACCCTTTGTCCCGGGAGCTGGCCAAATCTGGCTGGATAACGTGCGCTGTACAGGGAACGAGACGTCCTTGGAGCAGTGCCAGCACCGGTTCTGGGGGTACCATGACTGCACCCACAAGGAAGACGTGGCTGTGATTTGCTCAAGTAAGTTCTACACCTAGCATCCATGAGGCCTGACCTGGTGGAAGGGGGGAGGACGGGGGTGGGGAGTCTTTGAACATGGCCATGAGAGTCTTATCAGAGAGGCTGGGATCCTACCCCTGGATTGTAGAACTCTAAAGGGGACCAGAAGAAGAATTCCTGCCCCAACTAGGGTGAAGAACTGCAAGTGCTGCCCTTGGGCACTGACTCTAGACAACCACTGGTCAGCAGCTCAGTTTTATGATCAGGGTCAGAGCTGACTGCCCAGAGCTACCTGACTCTGAAACTAGGTAAGACCTGAGAGTTGACCAAGGACTGCAACCACATGGAAGGCCTAGGATCTTAGCTGGCGATTTAATTCTCTGAATCTCAGTGTTTTCATGTATAAACTAGGAAGACACTCACCCCATTTACCTCACTGAGTGTTATGCTTGTAGAGGATAAAATGTGTTAAACTAGGTGACTATTATTTATGAATGGATTTGCTAAGTCCCTGGGATTCTGTAGCAGATTGTGACTTGGCTTCACGTCAAGAGTGGGTGAGAAACGTGTGTGGCTTAGGCCCTGGGAGGGTCACCATCTTTTCCTTCGTCTCTTTAAGCTTGAGTGAAGCAGTCATTGCCTGAACTGTTGCCAACCTCACTCTATATTCTGATCATGACAGAACCCTAGCCCAGCCTTCTTGATGTTTCATCTGGCTGCGACTGACTCTGGAATGACCCTCCCCATCTTTTGGACCCAGATGACCTCAGTACCCACCCTGAGCCTGCAGACTTCAGCCACAACTCCTCGTCCCCTCTGCAGGACCCTGACTACACTGCTGAGTTCTTGTGCACAGAGCCAAGCGCCGCTGTCCTTGCCTGGAGACATGTGTCAGGAGGGAAGCCATGGAACGTTCTTGCTGGGAAAGATGCCCTTTCACTGTCCTTTCCTCACTGCTGACCTACTGGGATTGCTTTCAGCTTTTCCCGCCCTTTCTCAAATTGTGAGGTCGCCCAGGCCTGTCCTTTTGACTCCACATGCACGCCATCCCAAGGCAAGATGGATGTCTGTCAAAAAATGGAAGGAAAGAAACAATAAAAATAGCATTGGAAAGACAATGTCCACAGACAATGCCACAGAACTTGGGGTGCGGGTGGGGTACTTAGAATCGTCCTCTTTTATCCAATCTTAGGTGATCACAAAGAACACGCCTTCCACACGCTCTTATTCTGTAGTGAAAGCAGAACGTTATTTCAGGGCCGAGTCTTTTATCTTGAAGCCTGATCTTTCAACGTGAAACTTGGGGGGAAATGTTGAATTCCCTGAATGCCCTGGGCATAACCTTTTTTGTTGCTGGTTCATCCCTACACTACCTGCCAACCCAGTTGGCCTTTAGCAAGAAGAATCTTACAAATGCAATAATTTATCTGAGGGAACGATATTGGATGTAGAGCCACCCCTGAGCGAAGAGCAAGAAAAAGGCAGAAGGAGGCTGAAACATCCAGTTATGTTTCATGTCAAGTAGGGAACATGGTTCCCTGGTATCAACTGAGGCTTTGGAACCTGGTGACCTGACACAGGCATGATAATACTGTGATAAGACTTAATTGGAACAATAGAGAGTCTTAGTCTCTGAGGTTATGCTGGATGCTTACAGGAAGGCGCCTTACATTTATACTGTCTAAAACAATGAGATGCCACTGTCGCAACAGTTGCCCATCTGTGCGATATGCTCTTTTTGTCTGTGAGAAAGTAGGTACATCAGTTCCCGGTGATGGTCTTTTAGGCACAATTAGGCAGCAAAGAACCTGCCGGCAGGCACAAGCAGGTGTGTGATATAGCTCTCCCCTCTGGGTAAGGAGCTCTGTCGCTGTCTATCCATTTCGTGCCCCAGCCAATCGTTCATCTCTGACCTAGAGACGAACATACCTCTAGTCACTCAACTGATACCATACTTTCCTAATGTTACTTAAAGGAAAACAAACAAGCAACTTCTCTTCTAACCAACACATTTTGTAACCCACACTCATACTTATCTCTGGATCCTGACTCTGGTTGATTTGGTCAGAACAGTTCAGCCACAAAGGCAAGGTCACTAGTGGGAGAATGGGCATCATGTAACCAGAAAGGACTTGTGAGAGGCAGGGCCCACCACTTCCTGGGAGACAGTAGGCCAGTATGTCCCAGGGTACTCATATTTCAGTTCTATATCTTGTAGTCCTTTGCTCTAGAGTACTTACTCATTATTTCAGCACCAGGGTTTAGCAGGGATCCAAGAACACTGGACAGAGACGAGTACTTTCTGACATAGAAAATGGTAATGATGGAATGAGGAGGTTCTCTGAAAAAGGAGTTGTCAAGAACGTGCATGGAACTGATCATGGGATCAAATACGCTCCTCTTTTCCCCACTGAGAGCAAGACCTGACAGTAGCCTAGTTGATGCTATTAGATTGAGTTCCCACTGAATCAACTCCAGCGCATGATGACCTCGTAGATGTCCTAGAAGAACCGTGTTCCCTCTGACTTTCAGTGGCGGGGTTTCTAGAAGGTCGCCAGGTAGGTTCTAAGGGCAGACTTGGACCTCCGGCTTGTCAGGTTGCGGCCAAGTGCATTAACTATTTGCACCATCCAGGTCTCCAATGGGCAACATTAGCAGATGCAATAAGGATGTGCCACCAAAGAAAAGGCTGAAAGAAAACTGAGAGGCTGAAAGGAAACTTTGACCCTGGTCTTTCAGCACTCTACAGAGAAGAGAATTCCCTGAAGCAAGAAGAAAGCGGTCTTGACCTGATGCCCCAAATGGAAGGGAAGAGAAGAGAATAGCAGAGCCGGAAGGATTAACGCAGAGACACGATCTGCCAGGGCTCGCAGCTGTCTACGTTCTCGTCTTTTTCTTGGGCACAGCATTAGACTGCACTTCCCGGCCCTCCTCTAGAGAAAAATCATGTCGGAAGTGCTCACGAATGAAGAATGAATGCAAATTGTTGATAAAACCTTCATATCAAGACAACAGTCGCTTGTCTGCTTCACGTTCTTTGCCCCTCCAGCTGCTGGTAGTTGAAGAAAGACCCCAGGGACGTATGTGGGCAGAGCCAGAGATGGAAGGAAGCTGGATGTCTGAACGACAAGGTGAAGGCAAGTCTCCCTCTGATACTCTGCTGCCTGTGGCGTGAATAAGAAATAAATATTATTTATATGACGCCCCTGAGATGTCAGAGTTGTTCATTTATAGCAGTTGGTTCACCTTATTACTATAGACGTTACGATTAAAACCTTAATTACACTGATTAAAAACTCATCAAACAACCTTCTTTTTTTGTGTGTGTGATTCGATATTTATTTATTTTTATGAATTTTTAATTGTGAATTAAATGAGGGTTTACATTCCACACCAACTCTGCATTCAACAGTTCAGATCGCTCATCAAGGCGCTCCACCTTTGCGTTACATCCATGCCCCCACCCCTGATTTCTTTTCTCTCTCTTATGGACTTCCATTCTGCTTTTCAACCAAGTCAATGCTTGCCAGCCTGCTAGCCCATTGCTGCATCTTCCCATCCTTCCCTCCAGTGACTTGAGAGCCTTCAGAGTCTGATCCTTTGGTATGCAAATCTGTGTCATGGTTTTTATCCCTCTATTAGGGGTTTTGAACAATATTTGTCCTATTGTGATTGGCTAACTTCAGTCATCATAATGTTCTTCAGGTTCGTCCACGTCATGAGGAGTTTCATCATCTTTTTTAAGCAATGTATACTATTCCATTGTGTGTGTGTATCAAAGTTGCTTTATCCACTCTTCTACTGTGGGCATTTAGGCTGTTTCCTACTTCTTGCTATGGTGTTCAATGCAATGAACATGGAAGTTGCGTTAGGTTGTGTTGTTTAGAGAAGCAAATCTAGAGATACTGATCTATGTATAAGAAAGAGCCTTATATCAAGAAGTAATTATATACCAAGAAGGTATGGCAGTCCAGTCCAACTCAAGTCCACAAGTTTGATGCTGGTCCATACGTCCTCTTCAGACTCACGTAGCTGAATGCCAGTGACCTGGGGGGCAGGTATCTCACAGGCCTGTGGGGCCAGAGTCACATGGATCCAAGTTGATGGAAACATGATAGGCTGCCAACAGCTCTCAGGGTTTGAGGCAGAGTCCCAGGAAGGGGAAGGAGAAGAGAGAGAGAGAGAGAGCGAGAGAGAAAGAGAGAGAGAGAGAGATTCCTAGAAGCCTCGTGCTCATAAAAAAGGCAACACCCTCAAAGAGGTGTCCTCAAGCTACCACTTGATGGATAGGTTTGACTCGACCCCTAGCCAGGAATATCGAGTTGACATAAAATTGACCAACTACAATAGGAGTGCCTATGCCTGCTCATGTTACTTCTTTATGGTACATACCCAGCAGAGGGAGTGCTGGATTGTATGGAATTTCTTTAAATTTTTTTATTTTAATGGTTTTATTGACACTTATCCACATATATAATTCAATAGTTCAATCATATCAAGAAGAGGTGTACAAACATCACCACAATCAATTTAAAAACATTTTCTTCTTCCTTATTGAAGGAATAATAACTCATTGTTATTCAGGTAATTCTTTTTTCAGTTGTGGCAAAAATATATGCAACAAAACATTCTGCAATTCAACAACTTCTAGATGTATAATTCGATGCTATTGATTATCCTCTTCGATCATATGGAGTTTCTATCCCACTTGTTGGAGGTAGTGCTATATCATTTTCTATAATGCTTGGCCATATTAGAGGTCCATCAGCAGTACATTTGGAAAGTACACTCTCTCCAGCATTTGTCTTTTCCCCGTTTTTTGAATTGGACTGCAATTGTGGGTGTAGGCTGATATCTCTTCATTAGTTTGATTTGCAACTCTTGCGTGGGTAATGACCATGAGCATTTTTCATATGTTTGTTAGCCACTTGGATGTCATTTTTCATGAACTCTCTGCTTATGTTGTTTGACGCTAGATTCATCGTTTCTTTGGGCTATGACAAGAGAAGTTGTGGGGAAACAGAGAGGTAATAATAACCGATACAACAATGAAGAATATGCTTTAAAATGGATTAGGGTGATGAATACACAACTCTCTTTAATATACTTAAACATGGAATTGTATTATATATGAATTATATGTCAATACAACTGTTAAAAATAAAATGAAAAAGGAGGGAAGCTGAAGGAGATTTCAGGAGTCCTGGTGACGTAGTAGTTGAAGTGCTTCACTGTTAACTGGAAGCTCAGTGGTTCAAACCACCACTTTGACAGTCTTCTTCTCTAATGACTTACAGTCTCAGGACCCCTGTGGAGCAGGTTGGCTCTGTCAACCACAGGGTCACTATGAGTTGGAATCGACTGACCGGCACTGAGTTTGTTTCTGGAGAGGAAGATTTAACACAGAACAGGAACACACTCAGAGGAGAAGGTGGAGGCAGAGATCGGAACGATGCAGCCACAAGCCATGGGAGGCAGCTACTAGAAGACAGAAGAAGGAGGGTACAGTTTCTCTATGGGAGAGCATCATGAGTCTCCCAGATGACACCTCGATTTCCTTACATGAAACTCATTTCAGACTTTGGACTTCCAGAACTATGAGAAAATACATTTCTTTGGTTAAGTCACCCGGTTGCTGGGGATTTGTTACAAACACCACAAGAAACTGAGACTTAAACATTACTCCGTTTTCAAAGAAAATAAAAATTCCTGACACACTGAGAGAGAGAGAGAGAGAGAGAGAGACTTCATTTATAAAAGTCCTCTCCTAAACTGATGTTTTCAAGAACTTTCCACTCTCTCATCAGATATTTGGGATTGCCTTTGGATTTTTCCTTCAGGCTTATCTGACCTTGTCAGAGCTCACTTGGGATGACTTCCTGTCAATAAAGCTCGTCATTATGAGAGAGAGCGAGTTCGCGCAACACCAATTCATACAACACTTTTTCACAGTGTCCAGCAGAAGAGAAGTGAAAAACAAAACAAAACAAAAACAACAATATTCAAGGGTTCACAAGGGAGGGAGGAAGGGGAGAAAAGAGGAGCTGATACCAAAGGCTCAAGTAGAAAGAAAATGTTTTGGAAATGATGATAGCAACATATGTACAA